TACGTTTTTTTTTTGGGGCGAAAAATTAAGTGTCTCCAATCTTCTCAAAACTCTGGATTCTGATAGAGGGCCATGAGACTTAAACCTGAGTGCAAAAATGGAGGCTCTAGACCCTTCCAGAGCTGAGATATCGAATCTCAAAATTTCGACCCGAAAAAAAAACGACAGTGGTACCCCTTACGTTTTTTTTTTGGGGGCGAAAAATGAAGTGTCTCCAATCTTCTCAAAACTCTGGATTCTGATAGAGGGCCATGAGACTTAACCTGAGTGCAAAAATGGAGGCTCTAGACCCTTCCAGAGCTGAGATATCGAATCTCAAAATTTCGACCCGAAAAAAAAAACGACAGTGGTACCCCTTACGTTTTTTTTTTTTGGGCGAAAAATGAAGTGTCTCCAATCTTCTCAAAACTCTGGATTCTGATAGAGGGCCATGAGACTTAAACCTGAGTGCAAAAATGGAGGCTCTAGACCCTTCCAGAGCTGAGATATCGAATCTCAAAATTTCGACCCGAAAAAAAAACGACAGTGGTACCCCTTACGTTTTTTTTTTTTGGGCGAAAATGAAGTGTCTCCAATCTTCTCAAAACTCTGGATTCTGATAGAGGCCATGAGACTTAAACCTGAGTGCAAAAATGGAGGCTCTAGACCCTTCCAGAGCTGAGATATCGAATCTCAAAATTTCGACCCGAAAAAAAAACGACAGTGGTACCCCTTACGTTTTTTTTTTTTGGGCGAAAAATGAAGTGTCTCCAATCTTCTCAAAACTCTGGATTCTGATAGAGGGCCATGAGACTTAAACCTGAGTGCAAAAATGGAGGCTCTAGACCCTTCCAGAGCTGAGATATCGAATCTCAAAATTTCGACCCGAAAAAAAAAACGACAGTGGTACCCCTTACGTTTTTTTTTTTGGGGCGAAAAATGAAGTGTCTCCAATCTTCTCAAAACTCTGGATTCTGATAGAGGGCCATGAGACTTAAACCTGAGTGCAAAAATGGAGGCTCTAGACCCTTCCAGAGCTGAGATATCGAATCTCAAAATTTCGACCCGAAAAAAAAACGACAGTGGTACCCCTTACGTTTTTTTTTTTGGGCGAAAAATGAAGTGTCTCCAATCTTCTTAAAACTCTGGATTCTGATAGAGGGCCATGAGACTTAAACCTGAGTGCAAAAATGGAGGCTCTAGACCCTTCCAGAGCTGAGATATCGAATCTCAAAATTTCGACCGAAAAAAAACGACAGTGGTACCCCTTACGTTTTTTTTTTTTTTGGGCGAAAAATTAAGTGTCTCCAATCTTCTCAAAACTCTGGATTCTGATAGAGGGCCATGAGACTTAAACCTGAGTGCAAAAATGGAGGCTCTAGACCCTTCCAGAGCTGAGATATAGAATCTCAAAATTTCGACCTGAAAAAAAAAAAACGACAGTGGTTCCCCTTACGTTTTTTTTTTGGGCGAAAAATGAAGTGTCTCCAATCTTCTCAAAACTCTGGATTCTGATAGAGGGCCATGAGACTTAAACCTGAGTGCAAAAATGGAGGCTCTAGACCTTTCCAGAGCTGAGATATTGAGATATTTATAATGGCATAGATGCTATGTGGGATCTCATTATCTCAGCTCTGGAAGGGTCTAGAGACTCCATTTTTGTCCATTGTGAAATGCTCCAGAGGTTAAAAAAGGGGGCTGACATGTGATGTCCATTGTAATGGACACAGGGTTTGAATGGGTTAAAGTCAAGTCAGACTTTATATCATGTCTCCATTGCAGCTTTTGCTCCGCGCATCCACACTTCTGTATCCAGTCTTGAACCAGGATCCTCCCGACAGGGGAGAACATGCTCAAAACACTGAGGCACTGGCACTTCCACATGAAGATTTCTTTTTTTGGGATAAAACCAGTGAAACTGAAGCATTACAACACAACGAATGGGATTTGAACCCAAATCCTCCACACGATGGTGCAACACTCAAACCACTGAGCCACTGGAGCTTTCGCGCTTCTTTTTGGGGGCATGTCTTTTTTATTTGGACAAAACCATTGAAAATAAAGCATTTTAACACAAAGAGTGGGATTTGAACCCAAATCCTCCACATGATGCAGCTACACTCAAACCACTGAGCCACTGGAGCTTTCACTCTTTATTTAGGGGGCATGTTTTTTTTATTTGGACAAAACCAGTGAAAATAAAGCATTTTAACATAAAGAGTGGGATTTGAACCCAAATCCTCCACATGATGGTGCAACACTCAAACCACTGAGCCACTGGAGCTTTCACTCTTTATGTTGGGAGCATGTCTTTTTTATTTGGACAAAACCAGTGAAAATAAAGCATTTTAACACAAAGAGTGGGATTTGAACCCAAATCCTCCACATGATGGTGCAACACTCAAACCACTGAGCCACTTCCACTCTTATTCTTCTTTATTTTGGGAACATGTCTTTTTTATTTGGACAACGCCTGTGAAAATAAAGCATCTTGACATAAAGTGAGATTCAAACCCAGATCCTGCATATGATGGAGCTTCACTCAAACCACTGAAGCTTCCACTCTTACTCCTCTTTATTTTGGGGTAATGTTTTTTTTATTTGGACAAAACCAGTGTAAATAAAGCATTTTAACGCAAAGAGTGGGATTTGAACCCAAATCCTCCACATGATGGAGCAACGCTCAAACCACTGAGCCACTGGAGCTTCCACTGTTGATCCTTTTTTTACCTCTTTTTTATGTTTTTTTGGAAAACCACATAAAAGCACATGTCCACGAACACACTATGAATCCAATAACCCACTATTTTTGAAAACTTCTAACCCCGGCCTTCATGCAATAAACTGCAAGTGGATAGAATCCCACCTGCAATCTATGGGCTATATGCACGCATAAGTTCCGCATTTGACGTAAGGATGCTCGTCCATTTCCGGTTGTGGAGATTTAAGCGGAGGAAAACCGAGGAAAACGGGATTATGGCAGAGTCTTCAAAATTTAATGTCCTCCAGTCTTTGAAACGATATGTACATACGTTTAGATGTAATTTTATATATAGTTATGTATATTTAATATAATTTTAAAAAGAAGCATAAACACAACGAGGGGTGTCTGTTTTATCTGTTTTTTTGTTTAACGTTTCTTTAGTATAACCATGGAGTATAAAATTCAATATAACTTCTCGGTATTGCATTGGACTCTACGATCGGCGGAAGTTATCGAGCATCCTTACACCTTCACCGGAAATAACACCGTGCATAGAGCCCACTGAATGGGGATTCAGACAGTTTATTTGATGGACATTTTAATTAAAGTTCCTGTCATGATGAAAACCATGTATCTGCACTCTGCTGGGGCCGCTGAGTCCGTAGCACCATCCCATAATTCCACTGTCCACGAACACACTATTTGTCCAATAACCCGCTATTTTTGAAAAGTACTAACCCCGGCCTTCATGCAATAAGCTGCAATTGGACAGAATCCCACCTGCAAACTATTGAATGGGGATTTGGTTAGAGTATTTTTTTTGGACATTTTAATGAAAGTTTCTTTCATAATAAAAACTATTTTACTTCACTCAGCTGGGGCCCCTGAGTCCGTAGCACCAAGTGCCATCCCATAATTCCACCGTCCACGAACCCACTATTTTTATAATGGCATAAATGATACGTGGGATGTCCTTATCTCACCTCTGACAGTGTTACCCCTGTCGTTTCTTTTTTTTTTTTTTTGGTGTAAAAAAAATGAAGTTTCTCCAATCTTCTTGAAACTCTGGATTCTGATAGAGGGCCATGGGACTTAGACATGAGAGCGAAAATGGAGGCTCTAGACCCTTCCAGAGCTGAGATATTCAGATATTTACAATGGCATAAATGCTACGTGGGATCTCAATATCTCAGCTCTGGAAGGGTCTAGAACCTCCATTTTTGCACTCAGGTCTAAGTCCCATGGCCATCTATCAAAATCCAGAGTTTCAAGAAGATCAGAGAAACTCAAAATTTTATATTTAAAAAGTTTCTCCAATCTTCTTGAAACTCTGGATTCTGATAGAGGGCCATGGGACTTAGACCTCAGTGCAAAAATTGAGGCTCTAGCGCCCCCACGGGCTGAGATATGGGGCCCAACAGGAAAGGGGTCACTTCAAAAGGAAGGTTCCCAGAACCTCAGGACTCTGGGGTCTGAGAGGGCCCCTAGGGGCCACTAAACACCCCAAAGGACGATCCGCTGGGTCTCGTCATTTCCGAAATATTGACCGTTTTGCCCATTGTGTAATGCTCCAGAAGTTAAAAAAAGGGGGCTGACATGTGATGTCCATTGAAATGGACAGAGGGTCTGAATGGGTTAAATCACCTTACTTTCCCATTCTGACATTAAGTTTGGAGTTCAGGAGATTGTCTTGACCAGGACCACACCCCTAAATGCACTGAAGCAACTGCCATGTGATTGGTTGATTAGAAAATTGCATTAATGAGAAATTGAACAGGTGTTCCTAATAATCCTTTTAGGTGAGTGTAGATCTGTACTAAATGTGAACGTTCTCATCTCACTTTTCCTCAAAATGAATAAAAACAGTGAAATGCAAGGAACATTAGAATATTATGCAAATGCTCAGAATATTCTGCAAACCTGCTGCAATAGTTAAATGTTAAATTACACAAATATACTCACCCATAATAATGTGACGTATTTTTTCCAAGTAAAACCATCCATCGTTAACTGATTGAATCGTTTAAAGTTAAAATGTGTCAGGAAAATAAGAGGTTAATGTCAGCTGAAACGGAAAGTGTCCTCAGAGCACATTTGTCTGTTGAATAAATGACAATAAAACCAGGAAAACGCATTTAAAAACATTAAGAGGGTCAATTCTCATTTCATGACGAGTTTAAAACGGTGTCGTTCAAAGCCGGATGCGATGGATGCAACAGCTAAACTTGAGCAGTTTCTGTCAGTGAGGATCCTGTGTTTCAGTCATACAGTGACATCTGGTGGATGCCTGAGGTATTTCAACCTCCAAACACGAACATCAGTTCTCAGACAACATGAAACTTTATGTTTAATATGTTCTGAAAGCTCACATCATCACTTAGCATTACAATTAAGTTGGGTATAATATCAAAATAGTTTTTATGAATTTCTCTTTAAACACATGGAATGGCCAACATAATGAAAGATAAAAGCCTGAAGGGTTTTGCTTAAGTGTGTGGCTTCTGAAGGAGCCGTTGAGGCTCTCCACACCATAACTATAATGATGATTGCTCAGAGGCACCGTATTGTTAAAACCACTTTAAAAGATTTTTTTTTTTTTTTTTCAAAACATGAATGGTAAAAACAGAGCTCGAGCGTTTAAAGCGGCAGATGATAAAACTGCAGTGTGTTTAAAATACCCAGCACAATATCGTGCTTTGTGTTTCATTCTATTATATGCTGTAGCATTAACACTAAAAGCTTAAGGTTTGAATCCTCCATTTTATCCTAAACATCTCACAGTAAGGACAACGATCATCACACTTTTAGAGTACAACGAATAAAACAGACATGACAAGGACTTTGCTTTTTATCACGTAAAAAAAAAAGGTCTGACTAATAGTGCGGCATGCATGCGGAGATCCATCCAGTTTAACCGTCATTATTTTTTCATAATGCAGATCTGAGTGCCAAATGACGAATCCATGATTGAGTTGTACTTCTGTAAACAGACCCATTTGGATATATGAAGGGATCCTCGATTGGAAAGTGAAGCTCAGACAGGAGTTTGAATCAGCTCAAGTGTTGGAGAGAGCAGTGACGGATGTGTTGTGCAGCGCGGCCGAGCTCAGCAGGGGAGATGAGGAGATGGTGGCCTGTAGGGGTCGCACTGTCAAAGAAACACACCGCTTATTTCCTTCAATAACTCAATCATTTTCATTATCATGGCTACAACCTGGGGCTTAAAAAACAAGTAATATTATCAATTTAAAGGTGCACTTTGAAATTTGTTTTGTAAAATTAACAATATAAAGGGATAGTTCACTTTGAAATTAATTTTTGGTATGTTTTATCCAAGATTTAGGTGTCTTTGTTTCCACAACTGTTTCAATTTTTATATTTTTAGGTCAAACCGTTCTTGTCGGTCAGTCATATAATGGAGGTCTATGGTCACCACCTCAAAGAGCATGCACAGAGAAGTCCAAATTAAACATGATTTAATGACTCGTACATGTAAGTACACATTGATGGACACGAGATGAACGGTTTGTGTGAGAAAACGAACAGTATTTATATCGTTTTTATCGCTGCCCTCAGATCACTTGGACGTGGCTGTGGTTACAAGAGGTAAAAACGATATAAATACTGTTGGTTTTCTCACACAAACCGCTCGTTTCGTGTCTTAGGCCATCAATGTGTACTTACATTTACGAGTCAATAAATCATGTTTAATTTGGACTTCTCTGTGCATGCTCTTTGAGGTGGTGACCATAGACCTCCATTATATGACTGACAGACACGAACGGTTTGACCTAAAAATACCTAAATTGAAACTACCGCGGAAACAAAGACACATACATCTTGGATGCCCTTGAGGTAAGATAAAACATACCAAAAATTAATTTAAAAGTGAACTATCCCTTTAAATGAGTCATCAATCCTTCATCCAAAACAATCTCATTTTTTAAAGTCATGAGAGAGTCGCACAGAGCCGAAGTACAACCAAAAAAAGTAAGTTTTCGAACAAAATCAATGCAGTCTTGTTGTACCTTTAACTGCACTGACACTATTGGATGAGAACAAAATGTGAAATGAATTGAGCTGGATAAATGTCTGAATGAACTTTGCAATATTAACATGTTAACTGAACTGAATTAAAACTAACATTGAATTGACTTGAGCTGAATAATACTATTGTCTTCTGTAGAGATGCTTTACAGCTTAAATTGAGTTTCATAATTGTTGTTTGTCTGTTATTTACAACTTTTATTTTCTTGTTATTCACGTAAAGCTGCTTTGAAATGATCTGTATTGTATAAAGAGCTAGATAAATAAATGTGACAGTAAGGTGATCCTGCATAAATGATTAGCTGTGGTTTGTGGGAACTGTCGGACCTGTGCTGCTGTGTTCTGCCGGAAGGTTCTGATTGGTCAGGCTCTCCTCACAGCTTTGCACTCGCTGAAACGACTCAAAGTTCACAGACGCATCATCTTCTGAAAGGCCGTGTGCCACCTGTCCGTCCCCGGGCCGACACACCTCGAAACGCACCCACTGATAACTGAAGCAGGCAAACACAGACTCAATATTTTGCACAGTATGTCTTTAATAAATACATTTTTATGACCTAAAAAGTTGTTTTTGTGGCTTCTTAGATATTTTCAAAAACTAATCTGATCACATTATTTTGTTGTGTAGAATAAAACCGAATGTTACTCACTTGCTGCACTTGCGAGCCCCAGGACAGCTCTGGATCAGGTTCTGAATGGTAGGATGAGAGAAACCAAAAAAGTCTGCTCCAGACGGGACAACGTTGATCAGGGGTTTGGCACTAGATTAAAAAAAAAAAGATCATTTCGGGAACATATTCTATGTAGTACAAAGAGTAAACCAGTTAAAGGCTGAATCAAACACATTTCTTTGTCACAAAGTGGATAAACCTAAATGCAAGATCATTAAGATTTTATTTTTAATGTTTTTATTCATTTTGTAAAGATTTTATACACACTTTATCGTTCAATAGTTTGGGGTTGGTAGGATATTTAAAACATTTTTTTAAAGTCTCTTCTGCTCACAAAGGCTGCATTTATTTCATCAAAACACAGTAAAAAATTATTTACAATGATTTAAAATAACTATTTATTGTAATATTTTAAAATGTAATTTATTCCTGTGATCAAAGCTGAATTTTCAGCATCATTACTCACATGATCCTTCAGAAATCGCTCTAATATGATGATTTGATGCTCAAGAAACATTTCTGATTATTATCAATGTTGAAAACGGCTGTGCTGCTTAATATTTTTCTGAAAATATTTTTCAGGATTTGTTGATGAATAGAAAGCTTAAAAGAGAAGCGTTTATTTCAAATAGAAATCTTTTGTAACATTATAATGTCTTTTTTTAAGCAGCAGTATAGAACAATGATATATATTAGGGCTGTGCAAAAATTAATTGCGATGCGAGCTCCAGATAAAGCTGATGAACATGTTGAAGACTTCACCTGCGGGCAGCGATGGCCTTGAGCAGGTTTGTGTGGCAGGAGAGCGCAGATGAAGCAACGATCGCATTCTGTGGGTCATCCTCTGGTGCGATCTCAAACTAAATATCACAAGAGTAAATGACAAGAACGTTCAGTAAAATCATCAAGGACAGGTCAACTGTACAGAAGCATGCGTGTGAGCACCTGAGGACCCTGGCCGCCATCTTTGATTTGGCAGGTGTAGAGACACTTCTGATCAGAGTTCTTCATGCTGGCGAAAACTCTTGTGCTGCAGAAGCCCACAGGATAGATAGCAGTGTCGTCGTGAAACAGAGCCCTGTCTGTGATGATCTGCCATGAAAACACAAACATATGAGCTCAGGAAGACAAGATACATTTATAAAGCACAACCAAGGCTGACCAAAATGCTGTACAGAACAGAAAAAAAATTAAATAAAACAACACATATACAACAATCATACCTAAATCAAGAAGTATTAAAAACCAAAGAGAATAAATAGGTCTTTAAACAAGATTTGAAGGTGGAAACAGAGGGAGCTAATCTGATGTCGAGAGGAAGACTGTAGGCCTGCAGTTGTGTCTTAATAGTTCACTTTGAAATTAATTTTTGGTATTTTTTAGCTTACCTTAACAGCATCCATGATGTTGGGTGTCTTTGTTTCCACAGTATTTTCAATTTTGAAATTTTTAGGTCAAACCGTTCTTGTCTGTCAGTCATATAATGGCTGTCTATGGTCACCACCTTCGGTCTGCGAAAGCGCCGGAAGAAAATCGTATTCCATTGCGATTTCCTGTATATCTAAATATGTTTAGATCTTCACAGTGAAGGATAACACTTCTGAAATCTCTGTGTAAACAATGAATGACGTACACGCACGAGAGATCACTTCCGGCACTTGTGCAGACCGAAGCGCCCGCGCCCTCAGATCACTTGGACATGGCTGTGATTACAAGAGGTTAAAACGATATAAATACTGTTCGTTTTCTCACACAAACCGCTCGTTTCGTGTCTTAGGCCATCAAACGAGTCATTAAATCTCTGTGCATGTTCTTTGAGGTGGTGACCATAGACCTCCATTATATGACTGACAGACAAGAACGGTTTGATCTAAAAATATCAAAATTGAAACTACTGTGGAAACAAAGACACCTACATCTTGGATGCCCTTGAGGCAAGCTAAAACATATCAAAAATTAATTTCAAAGTGAACTATCCCTTTAAGCCTGGATCTAGGCACGATGATCACTGGATATTGGAGTTCTAGAAGGACTGTACGGACAGAGCAGATTGCCCAGGTACTGAGGGGCCAATTTGTTGAGAGCTTTATAAACAAATAATACAATTTTAAAATCAATTCTAAATTTGACATGTAGCCAGTGCTCCTGATATTACGATATTCAAAGCGGTGTTGGCGCTGCCGCTGACCCAGAGAGAGTTGTCACGAACACTCTTTTCAACTTCGTAGTATCATTATGATGGTGCAATAGTTAAAATTACCATAGAAGTACTTGGATAAAAGTTTAAAGCTCAAATATGAACACTGATGTCTAGGAAAGTGATCAAAATCAGCATGGTGCTTAAAATAGCGCATTAATTGATTACATTTTTACACATAAGTAGCGACAAGTGACTGTTAAAAAATGTATTAGTTATTGAATCATTTATTCAAGAGAATTGTATGACGCTTCTGAAATAAAGTCAGAAAGATGTGATGATTTGTTTTTGTAAATACGACTCATCTTATACATCATGTAGTCTGTATAAATTAACTTATCCCCATCGTCTAGTGTAGTGTAATATCAAATTGCAATACCTGTAGAATCGCAATTCTTAAAAAAATTGTTAAAAAATATTTATTTATTACCCAAGTATCGTGATGGTATCGAATCGAGGTGTATCGTCCCAGCCCTAATGCATAGTATATACAGAGTTAGACAACTGAGATCTTAAAGTTTAAAGCCTAGAGTCTTAAAGCTTAAACTTTCCAGAGTCGTCACAGAGAGCAGTAGATGGCTCTAAGCGCTTTATAAATGAAGGTGACTTGACTAAAATAACTGAGTTTGACACATTAGGACTGGATGATAGTCTGACCTCTCCTAGGCTGTACACGGTCAGTCCGCCGAGGACGATGGGAAAGAGAGGTCTCCCGGAAGAGTCCAGCGAGATGGGCTTAACAAGCTTACGCACTCCTCCCTCTACAACCTTCCTCCTCTTGCAAATCCTCTTCATGACTGAAAGTTGAGCAAACAAATGCTAAGTTACTATTAACTCAAAATAAAGACACAATACAGCAGCCAGAAACACTCACATTCCTCCCTGCCGTTCTCTCTTCCTCTCTCTTTTCGTTCTTTTTTGGGTTTCTTCAACAGGCAGTCTTCAGATGCTGAGAGTCCAGGGGTCTGGCTTTGACTCGCTGGTAGGGCAGCGCCCCCTGGTGTGCTGGAGCTCATCGTGACGGGTGTGTGTGTGTGTGTGCTGCAGCTGGGAGTCGGGACGGCCTCTCCTTCAGACAGAGACTGAAACTGCAACAAAGACTTCAGCAGGAATCTGGAGGTACAGGATGAGATTTAGTGGACTGTATCTCACGTTTTGGTGTGTAGTGTATAATAAATGTATATATACACACAGTTAACTCTTTCCCTGCCATAATTTTATTCTATCTACATGTATTTTTTAATCACCACTTAAATGTGGGTAATTTGGCAAGTTTCATTAAAAAAAAAAAAGCAAAATTAAGCAAAAAGAGCAGAAAATATTTGTGGCGGTACTGGCTGATGCGCCATAAGACAGCTTTGATTTATGTTATTTAATGTTGATGATCACATTATTTTACATATGCATCTGATTACATATGCTATCGCTTGTTTCTGCTGTTTTGAGGAGATTCTGTAATTCTAAAATGTCCATCAAAAAATTTGAAAAAGTAATATTTTGATATTACTATTTCCTGTTTTAATATATTACAAAGTGTGTTGCTTAATATTTTTGAGGGAATACATTTTTTTTTATAAATGTCCAGGATTATTTGATAAATGGAAAGTTAAAAAGAACATCTTTTATATGTCATATAAATGTTCTGTAATATTATAAATGGCTTTACTGTAGCTTTGAATGACTTTATTTAAAAAAAAAAAAAGTTTCAAATCAAAAATTCAATTGCAATCAAGAATATTTCGTAATGAGGATAAGTGAACGTGGGCGCACCTCCTTTCTTCTTTTGCCCGGACAAACTTCTCTTCCAGGTGAGCAATCTCATCATAAAGTGCTGCGTTTTCCTGTGAGTCAAAGGGCAACGATTCAATCATGGTTACACCGATAACTAAGCAATTACATTTAAGCCATAGACATAATATATACATAGACGCCCTATTGGCCGCTTTGGAATGTTGCTGTGATACGTCAACGGGTCCGCCATTTTGCGGAGGTCAAGACTGCATTGTAATTAAATGTAAGTAAACGGGTGAGCTGCGTTTTTCTGGATAAAAACATTCTTGGATAAGAATGGTGAAGACTCCCATACTGAGATATTTAAGTGTGCTCATTGTGGAAAAAGCATTTTATGTGATTGACCAGATCAGTGGTAGGCAAGTTCGGTCCTAGAGAGCTGCTGTCCTGCAGAGTTTGGCTCCAACACTGAACAAAATCTCACCTGCCGTATAGACGAATCCGACGAGCGTTCTGTGTAGGCTGCCATCTTGTGGCGACGCCATTACTGAGCTGTTACACAGGCATATAGACATATGCACCGGTATGTAAACAAACCTCGGTGATAACGCGAACTCACCCTCGATGACAGCTACAGCCAGGCAGAATGACTTGTTGGTTTGATCTGTGACTGCAGTGGCCTCCAGTCACAGATGAAGGTACAAACGATCTTACAGATTAACGTTATTTATGAAAATAGCTTGGCAAGCTAGCTAGGCTAACGTTTGCTAACGAGGAAACTATAAAAAGATCTGTCCATTTGGCAACAATAAATAAATAAATGAATGAAATCAAATAAACAAATTCATGTTTTTCATTTGTGTCCATTATTTATCTCATTTTCACATTGCAACAGGCATGGGTAAGGTAACGTTACAGCTAGAAAGTATACATAATATCGACCAATTAGTGTTTTTAAACCATGGAAAGAGGTCAATATAACAGCAGGAAAACAATTATGTCACATAACGTTACATTTAGCTCAGGAAAGTCATTTAATGACCATAGCATGTTAATTGAATAGAAAAAACAGCAAGAGAGGAGATTTTGCTGATCACTATATCACATATTTATTATATTTTTTACTTATGTCATTAAATAATTGTTATTATACGCGAATGTCCGTGTCTTGTACTCGCCCAGGAAATCTGTGTTTACCGTACGGCACCAGACAGGGGCAGTCGACCCGGGGTATTCACAATGTTTTCTCTTCAAAATTGAAATTTTACTGCCACCATTGAAACAATTTATAACGGAAACTGTTTACCCACTCGACATTATACAAGGGGTAACGTTGTAACGTTAGTGACAGTCGTAAATCGCGGGCTGTTTATTCCAGTGGACGCAAGTTGCAACTAAAACAATAGGAGGCAATGGCGCAACGCTACCCAGCAACAGCTCAGTAATGGCGCCCCGCTTACTTCCGATAGTTTCGCCGGATTCGTCTATAGCCTTAGTAATCCTGAAGACATTGATTAGCTTGTTCAGGTGTGTTTGATTAGGGTTGGAACTAAATTCTGCAGGACAGCGGCTCTCTAGGACCGAACTCGCCTACCCCTGGACCAGATTATAGCAATAACATTGATAACTGATGGATCCTTTATGATAATACATATGTTGTGGTACAACTGGGCATGCAGTGCAATGCAAATAGTAATTATAACATAAAGTGAGAAGTAATAGTAAATAGTTTAGTCAATAAAATAAACAAATAGTATACAGCAAATAAAATGGTAATGAATACATATAAAATATTGATAATAGTATAGTTTATTAATAATAGCAATAGAATAAGACATTTCAACTACAGAATATACACACACAAAAAATAAGTTAAATAGTGACATATATTTAATATTTAGCTCTTTTTGTTAAATTGTACTTTTATTGATCAGTAATAGGCTAGCCATTATAACAGAAGTAGCTTCAGTCAAACATACAGCAGGATACAACGTTAAAATAGCCTTAACTTACTTTACCCTCAGCCAAAACTATTTACCAGGGAACCATTTATAGATTAATGAGACCAAAGATAAACACAAATTATACGAATTATATCTCATGTTTAACCTCTAGACTAGAGACATCTGAGCCAGCGGCAACCGTCAGAAGCACTGGCCGAGGTCCGAAAACGTCAGCTCAAATTTTTAAATAGGCGCTATCTTTATAAACAAACCACATATTTGAGCTTTAAACAACTACATTGTCGACTGAAAAACTATTAAAACTACATTTCGTGACACAATAACAGTAGTATTTAACCTCTAAACGTTACTTACTAATTACATCATGACCAAATACAACCAAAAACAAACGTTCAGTCTTGCTTGTGAAAAGTACTTCCTCGAAAGCTGTTTTCAGCTGTGTGGCGATTTGTCCAGCCCCAAGCAGCACACAAAACACTAACAGGCATTTATCTCAATTCCCGGTATGAGAGGTATGGGAAAGTTGCTCTCCCCAATATGGCGACGCCGTTGACGTACGCTCCAGCGGCCAATAGGGCGTCTATGTATTTGTCTATGATTTAAGCTGCCAGTGTCGTCAGTGTGGTCACTAGTGGGTGTTCTGGTGGTGGTTGAGGAGATTCCCCTCTCTATGTAAAGCGCTTTGAGTGCCAAGAAAAGCGCTATATAAATGTAATGAATTATTATTATTATTATTATTATTATTATTAGTGGGCATTCAAAGGACTAGCAGCTGGATATGTATCGGTTGAAAAAGTCAAATGCTGGTCTATCTGGTTTGACCAGACCATTCAGGCTTTGCGTCAGCATGGCGAGAACCATGGTAAGTACACAGAGATCAAAAATGAAAGTTACTGACCACTAAAATAACTTAATCTTCCTGCCAACAGTCTCCACTACAGGATGTAGAGACGGATCATGTGCGCTCCAGTAACTTCACTCCTATTGGATGTCTCTGCCGCAAGTCGCCCCTTAATTTGCATGAGGTTAAACATATTCAACTTGCATCCTGTCGCCAAAGGTCACTGTTGCTCTTGTCATTAAAATGAATGGGATCTTCATTAAAATGAAAATTTCACAATTCGATTCGACTTCGATTCACAAGCTTGCAATTCGATTCGATATCGATTATTTTGGATATCAGTTGCAATAAATGGAAATTTTTCTCAAGGGAATCAAATCTGTTAAATGCTGTAAACTATGGGAGTCTAGTTGTAGCCTATAGGCTTCATTAGCCTAATATGAAGGTAATAATGAACTGTTGTGTAGCTACACAAACACTTAAATTACACTTTTATTTATTTTTATAATAAGAAGATTATATGAAATATAAACATTTAAATGGTGGCTGTCATAAAAACTTGCCATATTTATTCAAATATGCATTAAATATTGAAGAACATTAAGATTATAATGCATATTTAATATGGTGTATATATTTAGCAAAATGCTCCTCTCTAGAGTTATTTTTTTCTAGCTGACTAACGAGTTTATGAGGGTTTTCTGAGGTAAATATGACGATACATTAATTACAAGCTGTTTAACTGACGTCTTTCCTCGGTTGAGCGAATCAATGTGACATGATACGGATTTCGATAAGTTGTCCTCTATCTTTTAACACACTTTCAGATGCTCATTCATGTTTATTTCGCGCTGTAACTGGTATTATTAAGCCGGAAGAGAGATCAGCGCTGCTGCTTCTCTTGAGCTGCGCCAGAGCGATCTCACGCCACAGCGCCAAAACGTTATTTATGTTTTTGAATTTCTAAAGAAAATGGACGTAATTTAAAAATTGAGACTTTGTTTCATGTCAATAGTAACAAAGGACAAAGATTATTGCGATTTTTTTTTTGGATGCGCGCAGCCGCGATACAATGATCCATTCATTCAAATGAAACAGGATGACTAATCAATTCTTGAGATTTATGAATCGATATCGGTTCGTAAAAATGAGAATCGATTAATATCGAGAAATCGATATTTATTACCCAGCCCTAATCATGTCACTTTGTGAGCTTTAACGCACTGTGTTATTGGTATAAAAACTTTCACTCACAAAGATCATGGAACGGGCAGCCTTGCGCAGACGGATGTACTTCAGTCGGTACTTCTCATTTTGGTTCTTGCGAGGACCTTTCCTGACCTTAGGCCTGGACTCGGCGTGGCTCGGGGGAGAAGGAAGGTGTCCCAGCGACGAACCGGACCCTGAACTGGAGAAGGTGGACTGAGCAGAAAACGCCTGCAATGCATGCTGTCTCTCCTCATCAGTCTGAGTTACAAACAATAAGAGTTTAACAGACAAAAGAAATCAGATAGAAGAAAGCGTCACATTAAATTGTTGGGAATTATTTAAAGGTGAAGTGTGTCGTCTCAGTATAATGAACATAGAAGACAGATTAGATTGATTTAGAGGTCCAAATGTCAACTGCTGGTTCAACCAATGGCCTGCATGGACAATATTTGATCAAACTCAATTCACCTTTAAAGTTGACTACACAAAATAGAAACTGAGATCACTGTTTAATGTGTTGATGCAGACTCCAAACAACAAATCAAAATAAGAAAACGATGACTGGACAGTTGGCAACAAAACAATGTGGCATTTAGTAAGCGTCATGTGTCCTAATGAAAACTATTTCTAAATTAACTGACACGAGCTTATGGACTTACCAACAGGGCAAAAACTCCATTTCTGCTCTCAATCCTCTTGAAGCGTCTGCTGCCTTTCTGTGTCTGTAACAAACTGTGAAATGCTGAAGACTAGAGACTCTCTCTGTGATAGACTGCTCTGACTTTACTGCTCTGAATCAATGTACAAATGAAAGACAAACAAGTGAAACCATGCACTAAATTAAACACATTGCTGGTACTGAATGGAAAACAAAGTAAATATGGTGCATGACTGACAGTGAACAGCGTGAGTGTCATGAATCATGCGGCGTCTCACCTCTCGATACATGACCGCCTCAAGGCTCGACTTTGCACTGTGAATAGGGTAAAAGACACAGCGTTTATCTTGACATCAGTGCGTTGCGATGTAAATATTTGAACCTAAGGAATATTTCTGTACTTTGACTGCACCAGTCCACGATCGATGATCCGCTGCTTGATCTCCTTGATGTGCATGGGCCGCCCAGCCTCTTCCAGGACGATCTTAAAAATCAGAAAACTCATTGATTTGATCACATGAAATGTACGTGAAAGAGCACGGTTTAAGAGAGATGTTCACCTGAGCAGCATCGAGCCATGTGAGGTTCGGTTTTTCTGCAACCTCACTGGGGGTTTCACTGAAAAAGAGGAGAAGTACAGTATATGACCACGTAAAGCTTTCACACACATCCACCATAGCAGTGTTCTTATATTAATGTAGTAATCTCACTTATCAGTTTAACTATTATTTATTGTACTGCTATAGTTACAAAATAATACAGCTTCATACTAAAACCCACTGAGGCCTTGTGAAAAAGCACTTGTATTGTATTGAATGTGCACCTGTATGGCACTGGGCACATAATATTTATAAAAGATACGTCAATGTCCTACTTGAACTAAGACCTGACCTGAGGCCATTGTTTTAATAATCTTGTGTCATGTGATTACTAACTAACAATTGAATTGACTGTTGACTAACATACTAGCACTTTAAATGTCATTTCAAAAAACAGTAGTTAAAATTATAATAAATGTTAATATATTACATGTAGTAAATTTCAAAGATTACAAATGTGGAATTAATTACAAATGTATACAAACACATGACACAAGTTTTAAATGACAGTGAAGTATATTGTATTTTTGATCATAAATGCTTCTTGGTATATTCAGCAGGACACTTTAACCATATTTCAAGACAGTAGAATTATGAAATTGCATATAAAGATGTACTTAAGTCCTACTTAAAAAATTAAACTATAATGCATTTTCATTTAATTACTAAGTGTACGAATACATAGGTGTTCTTTAATATTTTATTAACTGTTATTTTTATTTAGAGAATGTATAGGATTTATCCAAAAACACTATTCTTTGGTTTTGAGTGACTTAATACTTTAATGAAATTAATAGTATCCTTTTTGTGATTATTTAAGTGTTTTAAGTGTGTTAGTTTTTTCCATAAAGTGATGATAATAATAATACATTACATTCAGTTCACACTTAAGCCTTTACCCACCTTGCCAGCGTATACATTTATACGATTTTTAAACAAAACAAACCACTTTTATCATTTATTTTCACACAAAATCTGTTGATCCATCAATGTTCAAGTATATATAACATTAAGGGTGTGATTTTAGCCCTGTTTTCGGTAAGACACAGCATTTTGGGTTTGGACAACACCATAGACAGTAACGTTACTTCAACCCTGATCGTGGCACAGCGTATTAAACATTACTGTAGCGTTTTTGGGGCAAACGCTGCAGTAAAACGCTCTTTTAATGTAAAACAGCTGCATGTCCTCATTGCGTCAGAATGTTAGACGATAAACAACACATTAAATGACTGATCCTCCGCCTAAACTCACGCGTCGAGACTCTCGGCGGCTCCAGTCAGGCTAGTCAGGCTGTTCATGCTGTCCAGCGCTGGAAACAGAGAATAACTGCCCTGCCCATCCGCCTCCATCTCTGACTCAAAGTTCAGCGAGTCCATCCCTGCCCGATCTGTGCTTTACCTCCAGGTCTGGGGCGAAATAACACACTTCATTAGTTGAGCTAGCTGCTAACTAGGCTAACAAAACAACACGATTCAGCCGTGTAGAAATTCAGAATACATGTCGATGCAAGTTCACCTGTAATCTCACTCGATGTTTATTCCAGTAATCATGCTGTGCAGGAACTGTTAAAAATGCTTCTGTTCTTCAACTTGCTGACATGTTTGACTTAGCATTTGTGTTCGGTGCTCAAGGGATTGGGAACCACTGATCGATTAAGTGAACTGTTTTATGTTTCCGGGGGGGGGCATTTTAGGGAGCACACATCACATCCGCTTCAATCACAGTAATGCCACCTACTGTATATTTTATGACTTACATATAAAAAACTAAATAAATCAAAGAGAGGGAGGGGATGATGGAGTTAACAGAACCACAAACACATGTTGAAATGCGGTTAACGTTACCCTCATTGGCCTGCTTTTATACATCCTGATCCTGATGGAGGTTTTTATTTCATGTGCTAATACTTTACACTTGAAATGTAATGTTTGATTCGTTTATAGACCATTCATTCCTTGTGCTGTTCTGCAAATATCTACCGTTGGCCAGGAACATTTTGCAATGGGAGGAAATACTTATATACGGACGGATTGTTTTAACAGATTATATAAACCATCTGAGCTTTTATTTTGGGACGCAGGAACCGGAGTAAAGTTTGCGGTTTGATTTTCAGTTTTCATTTCGCTAGGTCCCGCAGTGCGGTGTCGTGGGCATGCAAATAATATCTCATGTCGTTATTCATGATTTGTGAATTTGTGTAACTGTGTTTCTCCGATCCAAAACGTTTTTTTTTTTTTTTTTAACTGGGTATAGCTCCAAAAGTCGGTCACTTAGGAGTCTGAAACCAGTGTCATCTTGACACGCTCGATTTGTGCATTTTTTCACAGCAAAGCTCTTGTCTGTAAAACGTTCGCTAAGTCCGGTAGACAGGAATGGGGAAAATAGGCGTTTTTCATGTTTAAACAATGTATAATAACAATTTATAGTAAACAAACACTTTTTACAACAATTGTGTGCATCATCCGCATCTACTAATAAAGGCATGACTAACAGTAAAATTGTTTTGATTATTATTATTTCCAAAAGACAGTTTCAGTACAGCTTCAAACTCAAAAAAAAAAAGTTTGAGTTTTATAAGCTCAAATGCTCACCTTGCTCTGTTCTGTGTGACTCTCCTGTTTAAACTCGTTCATCAAAATGAACGGATCTTTTTCCGAGTCAATTTTTTCATTTAGTTTGTTGAATGAACCAAATGACTTGGAAAAAGATTCGTTCATTTTGATGAACAAGTTCGAACAGGAGAGTCACAAACATGCGTCACAAAACAGAGCAAGGCGAGCATTTGAGCTTATAAAACTTTTTTTTTTTTTAAATTAGCGATCGTTTCGCTGTATAAGACCCTTATTCATCATCTGGAATCGTTTAAAGCCCTTTGAACAGTTTGCTGTTTACACTGAAACTCTCATTTGGACCTTGAACCATTTGGTTCCCATTGAAGTCCATTATATGGAGAAAAATCCTGGAATGTTTTCATCAAAAACCTTAATTTCTTTTCGACTGAAGAAAGAATGACGTAATGACAGCAATTTTTTTTAAAGTGAACTACTCGTCCAAATAAGCTTGTCCAAATAAAAACCTTCTCACACCACTTAGGAATTACACTCGGTCATTTTGTCCACTACTTTTTGTTTTGTTTTGTTGGTGAAAACCTCAAACTCTCTTTAGCCGTTCTGCAGCTGCACTGGCAGCACGCTTCTCTGTTCATAACACGACAACAACTGTAAAATTGGTATTTGACCTTCTCAGTTGCGGCAAGGGTGCTTGGCACAGCACAAGGGGCATAATTACAACAATTGTGTGCATCATCAGCATCTACTAATAAAGGCATGACTAACAGTATAATTGTTTTGATTATTCAAGTAATGGTGTCCCTTGCTGTAACATTTATTACCCGCACCATTTATGTTTTAGTCCACTTCCGTGTGTATATTTGTTTGTTTGTTTGTCTGTCAGCAGGATTTTAAAAAAGGAGTGTATCATGGAGTTTTTCTTTCTTTCATTCATTTTTCTAACATTGCAAGCCTTGTATATAGTATTTGATTTATTATTTACTCATTAATTAAGAATGAACAATACTTCTAAAGTATTTATTAATCTTATGTCAATTTCGATATACATTTTTGAAACCAAAAGTACGTATTTGTTAACATTAGTTCATGCACTGTGAAACAACATGAACAAACAAAGAACGTTAACTAACATTAACAAAGATTCGGCCTAATAAATAATTGTATTGCTCATTGTTAGATCATGTTAGTTAATACATTAACTGATGCTAACAAATAAGACCTTATTGTAAAGTTTTACCCATTTGATTAGTTATATTTATATTATTGCTTAAATATTTCTTTCATTATTGATATATTTATTTTATTATTTTTTGTTGGTTCTTGTGATGGTGTTCAGCACTTAATGGGCTATATGCACGCATAAGTTCCGCATTTGACGTAAGGATGCTCGTCCATTTCCGGTTGTGGAGATTAAAGCGGAGGAAAACCGAGGAAAACGGGATTATGGCAGAATCTTCAAAATTTACTGTCCTCCAGTCTTTGAAACGAAACGTACATACGTTTAGATGTAATTTTATATATAGTTATGTTTATTTAATATAATTTTAAAAAGAAGCATAAACACAACGAGGGGTGTCTGTATTATCTGTTTTTGTGACTAACGTTTCTTTAACCATGGAGTATAAAATTCAATAAATTCTCGGTGTTACATTGGACTCTACGATCGGCGGAAGTAATCGAGCATCCTTACACCTTCACCGGAAATACCGCCGTGCGAGTCACGTGCCTATTTGGGCGGGGTCTGAGGCGGTCGTCCATGATGGTAGACGCTATCGGTTACCAGGGGCAACGCCTTTAGAACACATAGACGCGACTAAACGTTCCAGAGCTCTTAAATTTTCGCGCATGTATTATTTTGGTAGGACAGAGACGGATCTAAGAATACGAGAAAAAAGGAAGAAAGTAAAGCAATGCTAAAAGATAAGGCGAAAGAAAAGGGACCTTACAGGAACAAACTCACACAAAGTGCAAAACAGCTGTATTTGGAGAAGCAGCATTAATATATTTATTCTTTTGCACTAATAACAGTATTATTATTTTAATATTATTACTTATGTTGTCCATGAAACTTATGTTGTCCAAATATCCTATGTATTTCAGTTCTCAATAAATATTGTTAAGCCATATCAAGTTGTTTCAAACATTTATTTCAATGAAATAAAAAAGTAATGAACAAGGCACTCAAACAACACTTTTACATATGTTGCATACTTTTGCACTTTTTGCAAGGCACAGCAAACAGTGACAAATGACAATCGTATCCTAAAGGCATCAGCAAACCCAGCAATCCGGCGTCTCCTCGTCAGGTTAGACTCTCCCTGCTGTGTCCATTTCTGTAACCCCAAAAACTTAATTCCATTGTTTCTATGTTTTCCAAATGTATCGTGTGAGTTACTGGAGGAGTTTTTAACGCAGCAGTTACTTCCAGGCATGGTAAAACAGTGCGGTATTGCGAGAAACTCCCCTACTACCGAGCTAAAAACACACGTAATCAATACTGTTTTGGCGTGGGAAAACTACCAACATGGCGGAAAGGGGAGGGGCACTGTAAAATGACGTCAACTCCTCATTCTCAATACATTTTGTGTATGCCCCCAATGAGTTGAGTTCGGGTGAATATGTTTTTCCACTTGGGGCATCAGCTGCTTAAATGGGGGCAAGCATGACTCGAAAAAAGATTTGTTCATTTTGATGAACGAGTTCGAACAGCAGAGTCACGAGTGCTCATCACAGAACAGAGCAAGGCGAGCATTTGAGCTTATAAAACTTAAACTTTGTTATTTATTTTTTAAATGGCCGATCGTTTCGCTAGATAAGACCCTTACCCATTTAATGTCTTCAAATGCGCGTACCCGTGACGGGCGTGCTTTTCTTTTTTTGCATGCCAGACCTTGTTTTAATATTAAAAGTAAATTTCTCTTTCATTATCTGTCAGCGCGTTCGTTGTTTGTGTCCTCTCTGCTGTTTTTTTCCATCGCATGAGGAAATGGATATGTGTGTGCGTGACTAAGAAGCGTCATAATGTAGGAGAGTTGCTGAAATCAGTCCCAGAAGTGATCTGAAAGCTGTCTCTCTCTAGGATTGCACAATGTGAATGTATATTTCCATGAGAGTGCAGAACTGTAATGTGTGTGTGTGTGTCTACTGTATACGCATGCTGGATATCAGCTTCTGGGAAAAAAAAAACCTGAAGGATGGTGATCCATCATTTTCTTATTAGTGGTCAGAGTTGACAGTTTGGGGATGCTGCATGTCCACTCGCCTTTTGAGGATTGACTCCAGATTCTCGATGGGAGCCTGGCCACGGTTACAGAATTTGGAAACACTTTATATTACGACCCGCAAACAACTGCGTGAGAAACCCGAAATTACAGGGTAGGGGAGATCTGTACAAAACAGTGAATACACCGTTCTTAATACGTGGACTAAGCAGGGACCCAAGTTCAAGAAGATAAAGACACAAATGGATAATAATAAGTAAATAAATGCATACAAGCCCAGATAGCACAAGTCTATTTGATGTAATATTTACATCTGAAAGTCGTGTTTGCTCATCTGCAATATGTCTATAGGACGTTTAGAAGATGTCTTTTAAGATGTAATGATTTAGAATGCATGTTAAACTGACATCTTAAGCAAACAATCTTAAAAATACGTCTTCCAGATGTAAAAATCACATCAAATAGGCTTGTGCTATCTGATCAGTTGGACGTGGCTGTGGTTACACGGGGTAAAAATGATATGAATACTGTTCGTTTTTTCACACAAACCGCTCGTTTTGTGTCTTAGGACATCAATGTGCACTTACATTTATGAGTCATTAAATCATGTTTAATTTGGACTTCTCTGTGCATGCTCTTTGAGGTGGTGACCATAGACCTCCATTATATGACTGATAGACTAGAACGGTTTGACCTAAAAATATCAAAATTGAAAATACTGTGGAAACAAAGACACATACATCTTAGATGCCCTTGAGGTAAGATAAAACATGTCAAAAATTAATTTAAAAGTTTTCTTAAAAGAGTAGTTGATGTCCTTGATGTCATTCAAAAGTCAGGGTTGCTTTTTTGGATACACTTTATTT